CCCGAAACATCAGCCTTCTTGCTCCTCTGATGCTGCTTGGCCTGCTGTGTTCATCCAGCTCTACACCTTGTTATGCCAGGTTATAGTCCAACAGGTTTATTTGAAAACACAAGCTTTCGGAGCCTCACTCCTTTTTCAGGCTCTGAAAGCTTGTGCTTCATTTCTGAAGAAGGGTCTAGGCCCAAAACATCAGCTTTCCTGCTCCTCTGATGCTGCTTGGCCTGCTGTGTTCATCCAGCTCTACATCTTGTTACCCCTTTATTGTAACTTCAGCCAGTGAGAGAATTGAACCCACACTGTTGTGTCACTCTGCATCACCAACCAGCCACTCAACCAACTGAGCTAACTGATCCCCTAATGGTAGATTGGAATTAAGTTGCCACAGTCAGAGTGGATAATTACTTCCCTCTTATACATACAGCCTGCAGGTGAAGCTACTATACAGACTTTTATTGACACAATGAACAGGCAAATTTTGACAGTACAGTTCTCCTGTTGGAAGTCCATCAGGCCATTGAAAAGCAGTGGGCTTGGCTACAGATATTTCACACTGGATTCTCCTTTCTAAAGGCATTTCAACAATGACAGCGGGACTTTCTGCTTCCGTGCCACTGAGTGTACAATTCTTAACACAATGGGCGGAAGGTCATGCTCTGAGAAGATGGAAATCCCAGCTCACTTTTGTGGTTCGTATGTCTCTAACTATCTCAACACTGTCACTCAGCACGGTATGTGGCTCAGGTCAAACAAACCGCTTTGAACTTAGGGTGTAGCCACTGATTTCAAAAGATTAGACAAGCACTATTTTAAAAAAAAATCAAACTCCTGTGTTACAATCCACAGAGAATCTGTTCAGATATTCATTGTTTATTTTTCTTTTCGTGCCAACTTAATAGATAAGTATCAAGGAACCAGCCATACTTTGGTTGGCTAACTCAGAAATATATTGGACATTTGTTAAATATTTGAGAAGTTGCTAGTCTTATTGTCTTACATTTACCTGAACCTTTTGGGATATCTTGGGTAGGTTGACTGTCACCAATCCTCCTATTGATACGAGTCTCTGTTACCAATGTTAAGTGCAAAGAATGCCCACACAAAGTCCTCAGCAGAACTGAGTTTTGATAGACATTACAGGTTTACAATAATCAGTTGCATCATATCCGAGATGGTGGATTCTAGATGATACCCCAGATAGTTTGACCTGGTAACCTGATAGCCACAGTGCAGCCAGGCGATGTGGAGAGACACAAGAGAGAAGGGGAAACATGTGAAAACGTAGATGCGATGGGGAAATGGGCTGATGGAACACAACTATATGGATGGGGTGGGGTATACAGAGCCAGACGTTATGGACTGGGAGGAAGAGAATCCATGGGAAGACATTTGGTTGTAATTAAGAGTAAATACATATTACTGCTGTTGAAATGTTCTCACACAGAACTGGTAGCAAATACAGAGCTGGTTAGCTCCTCTGAGGAACAGTCCTTTATATCCTGATAGATGGAGCTTATCATGTGATGCCAGTAAGGTATTAGCTGTACTTATCTGTGCTACTAAGTTGGAGAACTTGTACAGTGTCTGAATTGGTAGCATCCTCAGAACAATTTGAGACTAGGTCTGAATCACCTGATATCTTGTGTCATTTCCCCCTCCAGTGATGTATGCAGAAAACATCACCATAAAAACGTGGAGGTGCGCCATAACAACTGGACTCAATAACTTTAGGGCTTGACCTCTCCCATGTCCTTACCCCAACCCCGACACACCAGGCCTTGTTATTACATAGTTCTTCTATTACACACTAATAGTCCCCATTAATAGCTATTCACCCTCCTTGCTAGATCGTATCCACTCCTTTGTCTGTCCAACTGTTCTTCACTCTCTTTGGGCCCTATCCCCACCTATTGTTTACTCCTTACACCCTCCCTCCACCCCATCTCCTTTCCTAGCTACTATTGGTTCCGAGGAAGGGTCAAAAGGTTAACTCTGATTTCTCTCCACAGAGGCTGTCAGACCTGCTGAGCTTTTCCAGCAATTTCTGTTTTTTCACCATAACAATACTGGCATCGAATTCTCTCTCTTTCCTCACCTCCTTGCCTACTTAGCCATTGGCAGCACTTTCTGACTTCTTGCGTGAGGCTAAGACTATGATCTGTGCAGAATGGGATCACAGCTCAGCAGCACCTGACATCCATACGTTCCATCAGAGGTCTGTGGAGAGCAGACAGGAATTCCAAATGTGGTTGATTTTGCACGTTCTTAGCTCAGGGACGCTAAGGCCAATGACCCATATTGAGAATGTTCCGATCACTTTTTTAAAAAATAACATTCTACAAAGTTAAAGACCGCAGAAGTTGCTGCCTGAGATTGAGTAATGGCTTCACCATGTTGTCAGAATCCTGCCACAATGCTTTTAGGTCACTGCTGCTCTAAACAATATAATATTTTCGCTGAGTTTATAAGCAGCACCTTCCAGTCTCTGAGGGAGAGATATTGGACCTCACTGTGCCTTGTGCCTTTACAAAGGGTGAAAAGTAATTGCAACGATAGGCTTGGTTGGGGATCAATAATCTGTGCCTCTCAGCCGCCAAAAGATGCTCAACCCAATAATGGGTCATCCTATGAATGAACTAAAACGCCAATGATCTAATGATTAGATATTCCTCAGCTGTTGCTCCACTTCCCAGACTTATCTTGGGGCAATGAAGCAAACACTGGTTCCTGGACCCATTACTGTTCTAATTGCCTCTGATTAAGAAGACTTTCACTTACTTTTTATGCAAGAATTCACCAGCTGCCAAAGCCACAGGCCTTTGTGCTGAATAAACCAACTGATATAATTGTTCACAGTCCTGCGAAGTTAAAAACTCCTCGCAGTTCCTGCAGAAAATTAAGAAACAGATTTCAATCATTTTGTTTCACATTGTCATTTGTGCATTATTTTTCTGGGCAGTACAGAACTTGAATATTTCTGAAAAAAAAGAGACAAGGTGCCAAAACCTTTTGTCTTGCACTCTTCAGGACAAATGCAAGAAAACCAAATTTCAAACAATCCCACCAATCTATATTGCAGGAGCAAAGGATGCTTATTAGTGGGCAAGTCCATTTTGATTGATCAAGGGGAGGAAATGGAGTGGAACCATAGACTCCCTAAGCTCCCAGTTAATTACAAAAAAAAGCACAGCACTTGAACATATTCCTTCTGTTTCTGAGAATGAATGTATGTCACTTCTAATAAGTGTAAATGAGCTATGTTACAAGTCTAACTGTTTATCTTAAATTGGTTGTTGATGTAGCTATTAGCACAGTCAGAACTGTTCGGGTAATGCTGGCCAATGAAAGAATCACACAAACAGGAAAGAAATTGGGTTTTGCAGATAAGGGCTTGTTTAATGTTCAGGCCAGAGTTTCAATTTCCGATATCTAACTCTGCTGAAGTGTATCAATATTGGGGTTAATTGGGAGAGATCCAGATGCTTCTTTGATGGCCTTGCCTCAGTCAGAGGGTGTTCACTGTATAAACTACAGGCACAGTTAGAACTGAACTCTAACAGCAGTCCCCACCATAACATGATGCTGGGAGAAAAGAAGAGATCATTGGAAAAAGCAGAGGATATCTTATCTCTGTTACAATCAAAATGAGTAGGGATTTCCTCGCTCATTAATTGTCAGCTTTTGCTCAGGTTGCAATCAGAATTTGAGCCTGACGATCACAGTGCACACCAGAAACTTCACTGTGTCATAAAGGATGATAGTTTAGTTAATGAGGGAGGTCTTCCAATTGCCCCTCACTTCTCTGAATGTCACTACTCTCCCATCCTTTCCTTGATAGGCCAAAGGGCCTCTTCTGTGCTGTAGACTCGATGACTTTCATCCTCCAACCCCACTCCTGAATACCTCTACTTACTTACTTTCTGTGGCTCAGTGGTTAGCACTGCTGCCTCACAGCGCCAGAAACCCGGGTTCAATTCCACCCTCGGGCGACTGTCTGTGTCGTATTTGCACATTCTCCTCTGTCTGCGTCCAGGTGCTCTGGTTTCCTCCCACAGTCCAAAGATGTGCAGGCTAGGTGGACTGGTCATATTAAATTGCCCATAGTGTCAGGGATGTGTAGATTAGTTGGGTGATAGGGGGATGGGTCTGGGTGGGATGTTTTGAGGGTCGTGTGGACTTGTTGGGCCGAAGGGCCTGTTTCCACACTGTAGGGATTCTATGATGATGAACCTCCTGATGCTTTCACTTACCTGTGAGCCACTGCATCATACACACTATATGGGGTAACATCTAAATACAGACACGGCAAATGCCTAGCCTCACATGAGTTCCATGATATGTCAAATAACACTAAAACTGTTCCTACAATGCGGAGGTAGGGAAAACAAAGTAATCACATTAATTGCAGGATGGTTTGGTTCACTGTAATTCCATTCACTGATCCAAAAATCCATATTTCTCAAACAACACAACTGGAAAGAAGCATTTACTTACTGCAGCATGAGAGTTAACACCTTGATTGCTTGGACAGCCACTTCACTTTCTTTGTCCAGTGTCATTGATGTTATTCTATCCTGTTGGAAAACAATGGAACACAGTACAGCTATGGACTTCTTATTAATTAGACCGAGAACAACTTCCTAAAAATGACAGCGACATTGGCCCTCAGAGTCCCGTGAATGTATCTTTTAATTTTATTTTCTCATGGGATGGGGACTAATAACCCATTTATTACCCATCTTGATTGGCCCTTGAACTGAATGGTTTACGAGGCCATTTAAAAGGCAGTTAAGAGTCATTAAGAGTAATTTCTGAAGAAGGGTCTTGGCCCTAAACATCAGCCTTCCTGCTCCTCTGATGCTGCTTGGCCTGCTGTGTTCATCCAGCTCTACATGTTGTTATCTAAGAGTCAACCACATTGCTCTGTACCTAGAGTCGCCTGTAGGCCAGACCAGATAAGAGTAGCAGATTCCCTTCCCTATAAAAGTGAGCCATATGGGTTTTTACAACAGTCAAGAATGGTTACCTGGTCACCAACATGGCCTGCATTTAATTCCAGATTTTTATTGACTGTCAATCTCATCATCTGTCAAGGCAGAATTCAAATCCATGTCCCAGATCATTAGCCCAGTGACATTACCACTATATCACTACCTGCTGATTTCCTGTCCAAATGAGAACTAATAACACAGCACCCTCAAATTAAAGGGCGTAAATATACTTTTAAAATAACCTCAAGTGTGAGTCATATGTAGAATAAGCCTAACCCTAATTTGCTCTCTTCCAGGCACAGCTAATAACCAATTATATAAGCCTGTACATGTGAAGAAGCAGTTTGACTGATACAGTCACTAAGATGGCTTTTTCCACTTGAAAAGGTCCAAAATTCTGATGGGCCTATCCCAATAATGTGAAACAAGCCAAAGAATATTGCCAATGTCGGACAACCTAGACCTTCTGACCAAAAAAACCACTGGGCCTGAAGTCAATTTATATAGTCAAGGTGGCAACCCAGGATTATAAAAATGGATCATAAATGATTGGTTCCCCCTGGCAGATGGTGGCATAATGGTGATGTCACTGGCGGAGTATTCCAGAGTCCCAAGCTAATATCCTAGGAACTTGGGTTCAAATCCCCACCTCTCAGTATTTTAAGGGAATTTCAATTAAATTAATCTGGAATATGAATCTAAACACTGAACAAGTCCTTATCATCAACTGTTGTAAAATCCCAACTGGGCTTTTAGGGAAGGAAATCTGCTGTCTGTACCCAGTCTCACTCACATGTGACTCCAGACTTCATCCTTTGGCTACAGGGACACATGCTGCCTCCACTCGCATTATCAAAATTTGACTCACCTTGAATCGACAGGTAAAAAGATCCATCTTTGAACAAAGCTCTTTGTCAGAGTATAGGCCCAGTAAACCAATCAGGCATTTCAATCTCACGTCACTTTGCTTCAAGAAAAAAGTGAACATATATTAGAACATATATTTACAGGCAGCACGGTGGCTCAGTGGTTAGCACTGCTGCCTCAGAGTGCCAGGGACCTGGGTTCGATTCCACCCTCAGGCAACTGTCTGTGTGGAGTTTGTACATTCTCCCCGTGTCTGCGTGGGTTTCCTCTAGGTGCTCCAGTTTCCTCCCACAGTCCAAAGATGTGCAGGCTAGGTAGATTGGCCATGCTAAATTGCCCGCAGTGTTCAGGGATGTGTAGGCTAGATGGGTTATAGGGGGATGGGTCTAGGTGGGTTGGTGTGGACTTGTTGGGCCGAAGGGCCTGTTTCCACACTGTAGGGATTCTGTGAGGAAGAGAAAAAAAGCTGCTCAATATAGCGTTAATAAAATAAACACTAATGTTTCTTGTTTCTCACGTTTGATGATTTTAACATATGCTTAAACAGCCCTTGGTAGTGCACCCACTCACCAACTCCATTGCCTCTGGCTTTGACACTTTTGTTCCCAATAATCCATTCACAGAATCACCGAATTGTTACAACGCAGGAGACTATCAACCCCATTGAGTCGACACCAATCCTCCAAATGAGCAGTTCCTTTCTTCCCATAGCACTGCACATTCTTTCTTTCCAGATAACAGTCAAATTCCCTGTTAAATGCTTCAATTGAACAAGCCTCCATATCACAGAGCATGCAGACCCTAACCACTCGCTGTGTGAAATTCCTCATGTCACTTTGGCCTCTTTGGCCAATTACTTCGAGACTCTTGTTCTTTATCTTTTTATGAGCGGGAACAGTTTCTCCTTGTCTACGTTGTTCAGACCTCTCATGATTTGGGGTATCTTTGTCAAATATCCTTGAAGCGTTCAGTTCTCCATGGAAAATGCTCTCTTATTGCTGGTAATCCCCCATTATGGTGTTCATCTCACCCCTTATTTCAAGGGTCACAGACTTTGCACAATTTTGCCCAATCATTCATTTCAGAGCTAGTGCTGACCAAACTGAACTCATGCATTTCTATTAAACCTTTCTATTATTCCCAGATTGACCACAACTCCATCATGTTTACTTTCAGCAAACTCCATTCCCTCACCTTTTCTTCTCTCAAGTCAAACACCAAGTTTGAAAAACGCATGAACTCTGCCTCTTCAAATGAGGCCATCATACAATTAACTCTATCCACCATCTTCCCTGCTTTTCTCACCTTGTTTTCAACCACATCCCAGCCCCAAATACACTGTGTTCTTTTATTGTACTGTATCACACCCAGTCCTTTCACCCTACCCCACCTCACACTTCTCAAAGCACATCCCTGCCAGGAGGTCCAACTGCAGTTCTCTGTATTTCATCCCCACGAACCCCCAGACCATTCAGCTACCATTCTGTCAGACAGTCATGTTTGTGAGTGACTTGAGGGTAGTGTGTATCCACCACTTGGCATTCCCAGCTTAATTTAGCACAGAATTTGCCCTGCGTTAATGCCCATCCCTTCTTCATAGTACTGCTCCATCAGCACCTGAAATAATCATAGAATCCCTACAGTGTAGAAACAGGCCATTTGACCCATCCAGTCCACACTGACCCTCCAAAGAGCATCCGCACCCACCCCCCTCCCCCACTCCAAATCACCCTATCCCGGTAACCCGGCATTTCCCATGGCCAATCCACCGAACCTGCACATCTTTGGACTGTGGGAGGAAACCGGAGCACCCGGAGGAAACCTACACAAGACACGGGGAGAATGTGCAAACTCCACACAGTCACCTGAGACTGAAATCAAAACCAGGCCCTGGCACTGTGTAAAGATAACTCTTCTAAAATGCCATCAGTGACTGCCTGTCAAATCTTTTGCCATACATACTATTTCTGTTACCCCTCTCTGTCTCCTTCTGAGACCTCCCTCCTGGGTTAAAGCACCCACCATTGAGATGGATGACAGCTGTTAGCCTGGACTAGGAAGGCACACAAAAGAAACTTTGTTCTAGTCACCTTTGCAAATGATAGAACATTGTTCTCTCACAATAGGAGAAAAGGCTATTAAGATGAGTGCATTGGGCTGCATTGCATTGTTGTATTCCCCTCACTGGAGTGCCAATGCTACAGCAAAGATACAAGGCAGAGTAGCCACAAAAAGGAACTCACCAAATAGTAGACTAATGCCAGTCAAATTTCATCATTCAGCTTCAGAGTGGATTGATCTCATTACAGAGTAGTATTAACATAACAGTGGGATTAGTCAGAATATTTAACACTGTTCAAAAAAGCTGCTGGAGTGGCAGAAGGGAAAAAAAACTGATCAGCATCTAACTAAGCGGGAGAAAGCATTGATGAATATTACAGATTGACTCACTTTATCATGCAAAGTCCATCCTACATATTTCAAGTAGCTGTCAGTCAGGAAGCGATCACTGCAGCTTTTCATCCAGATTCCTATTTCTTCAATACAAATAGCTCTGATCTCAGGTAATGCATCACTGCAAGAAAATGGGAATTACATTTCCAATGAATGAGTACACCAGGACTGTGTATCTCAAACAGTCAGACACAAAATTTAATATATATGTATATTATATATTGCAGATAGATGGATGGAAAGATAGATCGCTGGGTGGATGTACAGTCAACCCTCATCATTACAAATGCTTTGGAGTTAGTTCATGACTTCAAATCATCAAGGATTCACCTCATTTTGACCACTGTTACAAACAATAATGCATCATTCCCCAAGCCCTTGGGGCCATACTGAGTTTGACTGGCCCCAGCTAAATAGGATGCTACTCAGCAAAACCAGTTCATGAGAAAAGAGGCAAAGACAGCTAAAGGCTGGGGTCCATCCCTGATGAACCCACAGGTGTCAGGCAAGGGCAAGAATTGGGTTCAGTCGTGATACCGCCTGCAATCAAATAGCTGGACAACAGCCTGTTGGACAATGCCTTCAGAAAGAAAAATTCTTGAGGAAAAGCTCCAGGGAAGCTGCTCGTGGAGTAATAACCCCTCGAGGTCTAGCAACTTCAAAAACTGCAGGGAGATAACTTGAAAAGAAAGCACGTTATAAGAGTGTAACTATAGAGTTTTTAATTACATTTACTTGCATTCACTCATTTACCCCTGTTGTGCTATCTCTCGCTTTGTAAAGAATAGCGATTGGAATTATTTATACTGTTCTCCGTGTTTATCTGCACCTTGGCAAGAATTCTACAAAGCCTGTCATCCCTACACCTGATGGAAAATGCACCCATTCTAAAGGCAAATCCAGGGGTTAAATGCCCATCAGTCACTGTGGAATGCTTCAAGATAACCTACTGGTTGTGCTCCAGCCTGACATATTTCCCCAGAGAGTTCTCAGTAAGCATCCTCCAGGCACTGTCTCCGACAGTGATGGAGAAAGTGCCTGAGCCTCCCAAATGGAAGCTCACTGAGGGAAGGCCACTCTAAAGAACTTTTCACTGTACTCCTCCAATTTTCAACACAAACTTACATTAGACAAGGCATTAGAAAATTAAATGTCACACGACACCAGGTTATAGTCCAATGAGTTTGTTTGAAATCACAAGCCTTTGGAGCGCTGCCCCAGCTAAATAGGATGCTACACAGCAAAACCAGTTCATGAGAAAAGAGGCAAAGGCAGCTAAAGGCTGGGGTCCATCCCTGATGAACCCACAGGTGTCAGGCCAGGGCAAGAATTGGGTTCAATCGCGACACCTCTTGCAGTCAAATAGCTGGACAACAGCCTGCTGAACAACCCCTTCAAAAAGAGAAACTGTTGAAGGGCTACACTCCGAAAGCTTGTGATTTCAAATAAACCTGTTGGACTATAACCTGGTGTCATGTGATTTCTGACTTTGTCCATCCCAGTCCAACACCAGCACCTCCATATTATCATTTACAAAACCAATTGTTAATTTTCCTACACTGTTTTAGGCCTTCTCTACTCCAGGCCTCCTCTGCATTATCACTAGCAGCTGAAGCCCTCAATTATCTATTTATTCCCCCAAGATTCAACTGATCTAAAGCATTCCTGGCTGGCCTCCTGCATTCAACCCACTGTGAACATACTGAAAACAACCAATGCTGGAGATCACAACGGGTCAGACAGCTTCCATGGAGAGAGCGCAAGCTAACATTTTGAGTCTAGACAACTCTTCATCAGAGCTGAAGTGAAGTGTGTAGGCAACAGCATTTATGCTACAGTTTGGCGTGGGGTGGGTTGGTATGGGAGTAGTGGGTGTAGGGTGCTGATGGAGAAAAGATGTTGATAGTTTAGATTAAGTGATCAGAATATGAGAATAACAGAACAATGATGGCTCTCCTTCCAGCCTCGAAAGGACAGACAGTCCCACTGGGATGGAGGGAGTGGGGAAAGGACACAATAACAGAATGTAACAAGCGAAAGGAGAGGTGATGGCCTAGTGGTATTATCACTGGACTGGAGACTCAGATAATGTTCTGGGCGCCTGGGTTCAAATCCCACCACAGCAGATGGTCTAATGATGACCATGAACCCATTGCCAATTGTTGGATTAACCCATCCGGTTCATTAATGCCCTTTAGGGAAGAAAACTGCCATCCTTACCTGGTCTGGCCTACATGTGACTCCAGACCCACAGCAATGCGGTTGACTCTTAACTGCCCTCTGGGCAATTAAGGATGGGCAATAAATGCTGCCTGGCCAGCGACACCCTCATCCCATTAATGAATAAAGAAAGTAAAGAGATGGGAGTTGGTTCACAATTTGAAGATGTTGAACTCAATATTAAGTCCAGAAGGATGGAAAGTGCCTAGTCTGAAGTTGAGGTGTTGTAGCTGTGCTGTGATTCACTGGAACACTGCAACATGCTGAGGACAGACATGTGGGCATGTGAGCAGGAGACTGTGTTAAAATGGCTGGCTATAGGAAGGTCGGCGTCATGCTTGCTCACAGACCAGAGATGTTCTGCAAAGCAGTCACCCACTCTGTGTTTGGTTTCTCCAATGTAGAGTCAGCAATATTAGGTGCAGCGAATACAGATTGGAGACGGACAGATGAAATGCTGCTTCACCTGGAAAGACTGTTTAGGCTCATGGATGGTGAGCAGGGAGGTGGTGAAGGGGCAGGTGTTGCATGTTCTACGGTTACATGGGAAGGTGCCGTGAAGAGGTGGGTGTGGTGTTGGTGGTTGTGGAATAGACCAGGGTGTCCCAGAGGGAATGATCCCTGTGAAATTCAGACAGGGGAAGTGAGGGGAAGATGTGTTTGGTAGTGGCATTCTGCTGGAGTTGTCTGAAATGGCAGAGAATGATCCTTTGAATGTGGAGGCGGGTGGGATGAAAAGTGAGGACAAGAGGGACCCGATCACTCTGCTGTGAGTGATGAGAAGGTGCAGCAGCAGAAGCACGAGTGATAGGTCAGAAGCAATTGAGGGCCCGGTCAACCACAGTGGGTGGGAAATCACGGTGATGAAAGAAGCAAGCCATGTCAGCAGCGCTAAAGGGACTTAATATTGAGTTCAACACCTTCAAATTGTGAACCAACTCCCATTCCTTCCCTTTCTTTAGCTTTACTTGTTACATTCTCTGTCACCAAGTCCTCTCTCCCCTACCCCCCACCCTGGTGGGACTGTCTGTCCTTTCCGGTCTGGCAGTTCGACACATCATTGTTCTGCCATTTGCATATTCTGATCACTTAATCTGAACTATCAACATCCTTTCTCCCCCAGCACCCTACACCCACTACCCCCACACCCCCTCCCCAAACTATAAGCATAAATGCTGTCCCCTCCACACTTCACTTCAGCTCTCATGAAGAGTCATCTAGACTCGAAACATTAGCTTGCTCTCGCTCCACGAATGCTGCCTGACTCGCTGTGATCTCCATCATTTATTGTTTTCAATACAGATTCCAGCATCTGCAGTAATTTGCTTCCACTGTGAACTTAATCTCATCAGAAACTCTAAGGTCCGTTCCCTAACTTGCAATAAGTTCCGTGAACCTGCTGCCCTGTGATCCCTGACCCAAATAGGCTCCCAGTTCAGGAAGATATTTGGTTGAAAATTTTCATTCTGCTTTTAAGTTTCTCACTGGCCTCACCCCCTCCCTATCTCTGTCGGCTCCACAAACCTCCAAATTGTCTGCACTCATCTCTTAGCCTCTTGAGCATCTCTAGTTTTAAATACTCCACCCTCATAGGTGGTTCCTTCAGCTGCCTCAGGGTTTAAGTTCAGGAATTCCCTCCCTAAACGTCAGAGTCCTTCTAGCTTGACCTCCTCCCTTAAGACACATCTTAAGCCTCTTTGACCCAGCTTTTAGTCATCTAGTATCTCCTCACAAGGCCTGGTGTCAAATTTTCAGAGATAGTTATCATCTTGATAACAGCCTCCTGCAGTGCCTCCTCCACTTCAGGAGCATTCAAATAGGAAATGGTGTGTTGGACCACTCCATCATTTGTCCACAGACCTATGCTCCTTAGATTTTTCATTCCTTCATTTTTGCACGCCTCTTTATTTTAGGCTCCATCTAAGTGCTATAGATCCCAAAATTGACATTTTGAGACTTTCCTAATGGCTTTTAGAACTCTGGTCCCTCCCTATTATGACACATCTTTTCATTGTCCCTTGCCCTTTAAACTTCACTTCCACTTGGCTTCCCACTGTCACTACCAAAGCGCACTCTCTAGCCATTCGAATCCACCCCTGAAGTAGTGCCAATGAACTGCCTCCAGAAAACTGGATAAACAACAGCACACCTGCGTCTGATCTGTTGAAAAATCCCCAAAAGTAGTCCTTCTAGCACAAATAGAAATGGGAACTCAAGAGCTACAAAAATCTCTTTTACCCCTGGGATGTAACGACAGAGGTAACATTACCGGTATCTATGAAGGAAGATTCCTTTGAAAATTGCATTCATCAGATTTTCAATGTTTTCCTGCTTTGCTATAATCTGAAAAAAAAAGGCACCAGACTCTTTATTACTTGTTATAGCCTTAAAAAAGAAAATGTTGTTACAGATATATATTTATCCTAATTCATCAGTATCCCAGCAGCCTGACAAATCAAGTGGTTAATTGCTTCATTTAGAATCATAGAACAGTACAGACAGGGAAGGAAACTGCTGGCCCTACCTGGTGTGGCCTACACATACCTCCAGACCCATGGTAATGCGGCTGACTCCTAACTGTCTTCTGGGCAATTAAAGATGGGCAATAAATGCTGGCCTAACCAGCAAGGCCCTTATCCCATGAATGAATTTTAAAAAAAAGAGAATTCATCCCATCAACTCTGTATCAGCTCTTTTTGACAGCAATCCAGTTAGTTCCCTTTCCCTGCATGGTCCTAGCATGCTCCATTCTTTTCTCCTTCAATTATTTAGCCAACTCCTTCCTATATTCATGAAAAGAGAGGCAGGTTGATGAAGCTTTTGTTGCGCACTCATCAGGACAAACACAAGAATGCCAAATGTCTTCAGTTCATTTCTGGAGGATCTTATTGGCTCCATATCCCCCCATCTAACAGGCAGTGCATTCCTTGTTACATTTACAAGGTTTTCCTCACGTTACATTTCATTCTTTAACGATCATTATAGACCTGCACCTTCTGGTTATCAACTCTTCAGCTATTAACGCTTTACTCTGTCCAACCATCATGAAGTTAAAGGCCTCTTCAGCAGAACCTAAATGCCAAGGAGTTCCCTAAAGGCTCCTCTCTCTGTTCAACAGCCACAGTTACCTTATTTCTTTCCAACTCTTCTCAATCAGTGAGAGTTGCTAAGAAAAGCTGAGAATCTAATTCCAGGAACTTCTCATCAATTGACCTTCAGGAGAGAGGGGAAGTGGTGTTCACAAACGGATGACACTCATCGATGTTCAAACAGGTTAAAGACTCTTGACCTCATCCTCATAAACTGTAGTGGCTTGAGACCTTTATCTTCTCAGGTTAACAAGAAGTGGGCAGTAAATCTGGCCTTGCCTGAATCTTGAGAATCATTTCTTTAAAATATTAGAGAGGGCATTCTGCTAGATTTCGGCATGGAAATGGGGAAGTAGAAGCTGCCAGCTTACCTCGTTTTTCTTCTGCAAGAACGTTTCCAGCCTCCTACTGGGTCGTTTGTCAAACATCTCAACTTCACACTGTCGCTGAGAGTTTTGCAACTGGACTCTCAAACTCAGAGTCACGTTGATTAAGGCTGTCATGAGTTTCATAGCTTGAGGGGAATAGAAATAGAAATTTCCTAATAAATGTACCCGAGCACAAGCTCTCACAACTTTATGTCAATGTCATCCATGCAGACAATAGGTTATTCTGCCGTGGAAAGGTAGAACATTGCCCAGAATATTTGGGTGGAACTTTACACGGAGGAGTTGAAAGCTGAAAATCGGAAACAAGCCTGCTTCCCATTGGCCGTGTGGCAGCCGTAGCCCTTTCACGGCCTTTGACTGTTGATTGGCTCAGGGAAGATCTCGGGGAACCTCCCTCACCCCACACAAACAAAAAGTTTGCCGCTCTCTTAGTCCCAGCAGCGCCACCGGGAGTGGAGGCCACTGCTGGCACTGCAGCCCACCTCCCAATGCCATGGATCTGGAGAGTTATTGGCATGCTCCATTGAGATGAATGGGTGGGGGTAGCATCAGGAAGGAAATAGGTGAAGTGGTGGTGTGGAGTACCACTAGGGAATGGACTCCATTGGGCACAGAATCTCCGCTGCCTGCAAAATGGTTGCCAGGTCACTAAGGAGTGTCAACACTACCCCGTGTGGGAGGAGACATTTAAATCACCATTATTCAGATATTTAAGGTCTTCAATTAGCACAAGGTCAAGCAGGGTGCCCAACACTTTTCCTGCCACACGTAAAATACCAGTAGAGGCAGGGGGTCAGTGACACTGCCATGCCAACTCTTTTATGGCCTCTTTCCCCAACAGTTGACTCCTGGGGGTGATGAGTCAGGGGCAGTAAAATTTCACTCCGTGTATTTACAGTGACGTCCTCTATGATTAACACCTTGCCTTTAACTAGCCAGCTGGAGGGTTGTCAAAGTTTATGGAGGGAATTCCAGAGCACGTGGCATTGGCAGCTAAGAGCTAGGGGCTGCCGATGGCCTAGTGGCATTATTTTCTTTATTCATTCACGGGATGAGGATATCGCTGACCAGGCGGCATTATTTGTGCATCCCTAATTGCACAGAGGGCAGTTCAGAGTCAACCACATTGTTGTTGGTCTGGAGTCACATGTAGGCCAGACCAGGCAAGGATGGCAGTTTCCTTCCCTAAAGGACATGAGTGAACCAGATGGGTTTTTCCGACAATCGACAATGGGTTCATGGTCATCATTAGGTTCGGAATACCATCAGGCCATTCCCTCCCCTAGAGGCTCGACTATTAACCCAGAGACAAAGGTAACATTCTGGGGACCCATTTTCAAATGCTAAAATGCCAGATGATGGAATTTGAATTCAACAAAAATCTAGAATTTGACAGGAAGAAAACCCATCTGGTTTACAAATGTCCTTTAGGGAAAGAAATCTGCCATCCTTACCTGCTCTAGCCTACGTGTGACTCCAGACCCACAGTAAATGGGTCAATTCTTAGAATAAATGCTGATCTGGCCAGGGACAGCCACATCTCATGGATTATACATAAAGCGAATGGAATTGGGAGATGTGAAAGAGGTCAGAGCTGGAAAAGGCACAGAGGTCCAGGAGAAATCGCCTTCAGCAGAAAAGGGAAGCGAGTAGGATTGAAGGAAAGGTCCCATATGTCACACTCTTATTGATCCTTCTATCTCTTCATGAATATGACACTGCCAAAACGAAATACCCTAAACATTTGGATGCAAAAGTTCGGAGATCCAGTCTGCCGGCTCCATGGTCACCTCTGCTGGCTCCATGGTCACCTCTACCGGTTCCAAGGCTTAACACCATAAATTGTGGAGATTGTACACACAATTTAGCTGACCCCTCCACGTGCAGCGTGGTTCAAGGAGCAAGAAGCTGGCTACTAATGTCTCAACTGAGAAGGGGCAAAACAATGTCATCCCTGTGAGTGACACCCACATCCCAAGACTGCATTTACAAATAAAACAAAAATATACACATGTTGCATGATGCAAAAAGGCAGGATAAATCCATGCTTTGCTGCTCAAATTGCTGTGCAGTAGTTGGGCCCCTTAGAATTGAGATCGCTTAAGGATTGGGTTCCCACTTTAGGAGGCAGTACATAACATTCCCCACCAGATTTTTATGCTCCTTTATCCAGCCAATACCCCAGCAGGATACGTTATTTGAAAACCTAGCCAGGGTGTCCTGGTTTTGGGCAAACATTGCTAGCTCTGAATTTGTGCAATGATCACCATGCAAAGTCTTGATCCTTTACCTCTTTGGCTCAATTATTCTCAGGCATTTTCCCAGTTTGTGATACAGAATTGTGGCCTGCTCCTGCTCCTCCAGACTCTTCCAAACTGCTCCACCATTCAGGAAGGTCATGGTTGAGCTGATTGAGGTCTCCTCTCCACTTTCCTGTCTGAACAGCACCCGTTCCTGATTCCACCCTCCCCCACCATTAACCTTTGACTCACTGGTCTATCAATTTGCACTATTCTCACCTGCAAGTGTGCTGGTGTGCCGGAAGGCTCGCACTTGGGAGTCTGAGAGCCCCGTCAACAGGGAGATCACTGTATCCATTAGATATTCATCATGTATGATAGTGTACTGGCAGTGCTGAATCAGCAGAGAGAGAAACTCACAGAAATTGGACTTGAATTTCTTCCAATAGGGGCCTGACATCGTAAGGGGGTAATCTCCACTGTCCTAGAAAGAGAGCAAGAGACTCCTGACCAAACGGTGATTCAGTTAGGACTACCAAGACGCCAAGATTGTCCCACCCTCGTTGTCCTATACCCAATCCCAGTCTGTCAGTGCCTTGATTGTAAATGTCTCCCAGTCTACTATCAATTCACCATTGGTGGCTGTGTCCATGGCTGCCCAGCACCTAAACTCAAGATTCTGCCACCCACCCCATTAATCCCTGCACTGCACCCCTTCATTCTCCCTATTCAAGGTGTCCCTTAAAACATATCTCAGCTTCCAACATTTCCCAATGCGACTCAGTTTCAAATTTTAATGACTGCACTTCTGAAGTACCTTAGAATGCCTACCTCTGATAAAAGGTGCCATTTAAGTATCAGTTGCTGCTGTTGTTAGATTCTCCGGGAATTGAAGATTAATTTCTTGGCTACTAAAGCCCAGGAGAAAACATACATTTGTTCATTCATTGAACATTTCTTACGACAGAAAAGTTGAAAATAGGGAAAGAGCTCTTTGACTGGAGAAGATTGTTAAATATGTGAGGCCATATTAAAATGTCTCCAAGAATATGTCCATTCAGAGGTGGCAGCCAGTCGGTTATGTGGAAATTTCTTTTTTCTAGTCCTACTTAAGGCCTCTTCATCCCTTCTTCTGCCCAGTGCATTGATTACCTTGTTACAGAGTCATAGAGTCCCTCAGCACAGAAACAGACCCTTCAGTCCAACCAGACTATGCCAAACATAATCCCAAACTAAACGAGTCCCAACTGCATGCTCCTGTCTCATATCTCTCCAAATGTTTCCTGTTCATGTACTTATCCAAATATCTTTTAAATGCCACAATTGTACCCACATCCACCACTTCCTCAGGAAGCTGATTCCACACGTGGTCGTTGCCACTTCCTGATCTTTATTGAACTAGGAAATGTACTTAACTTTGTTTTCAATTGTCATTTCTTCCTCACTTTCATATGGCTCACCTTGAATGGTTCCCTTCCCTTCCTTGACTTCTTCATCTCCATTTCTGGGGAAAAGCCGTCAAATAATGTCTACCATTAGCCCACTGACTTCCATCACCTCTTGTCAACATTCTCTCCCACCCTCTCCTGTAAGGACTCCCTTGCATTCTCTCAGTTTCTCCATTGCATCTGTCTTCTTGTTGAGCATTCTCCCTGCCATGGTTGACAGATCCTTGACTGTGTCTGCCTTTTCTCCCCACACTTTCACTCTTATCTTTTCCCAATCCATGCCAACGATATGAGTTCCCTAGCCAAATTCCGCACTCGACGGACCATCCTCCTTCATTTCTGTAACCTCTAAGACAATGGCACCAACAAACACATCTTTCCCTCTCCTTCTGGCATTCTAAAGATCCCATTCCCTCTGAGACGCCCTGCTTCATTCTTCAACCCCACCATTGGTTTCCTGCGATGCTTTTCCATGCAATAGCAGGAGTTGCAACAACTGTTTTTTCACTGCCTCCCTTCTCAGTAACCAGTCAGCTCTTCCAGGTTAAACAGCAACATGTATGCACTTTTTCTTAAATTATTGTTATTTAATATAGCATCATACAGCATGGAAACAGGCCTTCAGTCAAACCAGTCCATGCCAACCATTAGCCCAAACTAAACTAGTCCCACCTGCCTGCATTTGGCCTATATGCCTCTAAACATTTCTTATTCATGAACTTATCCAAATGTCTTTGTACCTCGACATGCATCCACCACTTCCTCAGGAGGTTCATTCCACACACAAGCCACTCTCTGTGTATAAAAGCTTCCCCTCATGGTCTTTTTAAAATCTTTCCCCTCTTGCCTTAAAAATATGCCCTCTAGTCTTGAAATCCCCCACCCTAGGGAAAAGACACCTGCCACTCATCTTATCTATACCCATCATTATTTTATAAACCTCTATAAGGTCACCCCTAAGTTCACTCTGAAGTCTCCATGCTTGACCCTGAGCTTCTGGAAGCATCTTTTTAATCCTCCACCCACTCTCACTCTGACCTCTCCCCCGTCAGCCTCCAATGTTCAGAATCCCAGATGCTGTTCTCTGTCAGAAGGAGGCCATTCACCCCTTAGTGTCTATACCAGCTCCCCAAAACAGCATTTCATTTCCTGCCAATCCTTAAACAAAGCTCAGCACAAGGGCACTTTGCAGCTTTCTGGTCTCAACATTGACTTCAATCTTTGCCCCAATTCTTCAGACAGCAACTACTGGTAATGATTCTGCTGTTGACATTGACAGGCTCTCTAGACCCATCTTTCCATCCTTTCCTTTCCCTCCCCTCCCCTTTTCACTGCCTGGGCGCTTAAAATCCCTGAATAGTTTCCAGTTCTGATGAGAGATCATCGACCTTCACAATGTTAACTCTGTCTCCACGGATGCTGCCTGAGCATTTCTAGCGTTTCCTGTTTCTTCAATTTAAGACTGAAAACGAAAAATGCTGGAGATCATAGCGGGTCAGGCAGCATCCATGGAGAGAAAAAGCAGGCTAATATTTCGAGTCTAGATGACTCTTCAGAGCTGAAGTGAAGTGTGGAGGGGACAGCATTTATGCTTATAGTTTGGGTATGGGGTGCGGGGGGTGGTGGGTGTAGGGTGCTGGGGGAGAAAGGATGTTGATAGTTCAGATTAAGTGATTGGAATGTGCAAATGGCAGAACAATGATGGGTCTAACTGCCAGACCAGAAAGGACAGACTGGGGTGGGGTGGGGGGAGAGATGACATGGTGACAGAGAATGTAACAAGCAAGGCTAAAAGTAAGGGAAGGAATGCGTTCACAATTTGAAGGCGTTGAACTCAATACTCAGCCCAGAAGGTTATAAACTGCCTAGTTTGAAGATAAGATGTTGTTTCTCCAGTTTGCGCTGTGATTCACTGGAATACGGCAGCATGCTGAGGACAGACACGAGGGCGCCGCGTTAAAATGACTGGCTATGGCAAGTTTGGGGTCATGCTTGCGCACGGACCGGAGGTATTCCGTGTTTGGTTTCTCCAATGTAGAGTAGGCCACATTGGGTGCAGCGAATACAGATTGGAGGAGCTACTGATGAAATGCTGCTTCACCTGGAAAGACTGTTTAGGCCCTTGGATGTTGAGCAGGAAGGAGGTGAAGGGGTAAGTTTTGCATGTTCTGTAATTACATGAGAAGGTGTTGTGGAAAGGGGGTGTGATGTTGGTGATTGTAGAATGGACCAGGGTGTCCCTGAAGGAATGGTCCCTGTGAAATGCAGATGGAGGAGTGAGGGAAAGATGTGTTTGGTGGTGGCATTCTGCTGGAGTTGTCTGAAATGGCAGAGAATGATCCTTTAAATGTGGAGGTTGGTGGGATGAAAAGTGAGGACAAGGAGGACCCGATAACACTGTTGTGAGTGATGGACAGGGGCATGGGGGGGAAGCATGGGTGATAGTCAGATGCGGTTGAGGACCCTGTCAAACACAGTGAGCAGGTTATGGAAGAATTTAATGTTGAGTTCACCTCTCTCCGCAAAGAATAGGCAAGACTAGAAAAAGAACACTACGCAGGATGGGGAATACACAATCACTGTTAAAGTAAAGAAAACTGAATAATACCAGGTCCAGTGGCCAGGTAACATTCAAGATCCAGGGGTAGACCATGAACTTCTTGTATTGTAAGCCTGTCTCCTGCAAAAGGTACAAAGGTAAAACTCAATTTCAAGAACTCCGTAAAAGGCCAACGCTGTTTTCCTTGCAAACAGTCTTCAAAAACGTAAGAGATTCTCAATTCAATATTGTAATCTATGACTAAAGCAACAACAGAATATAGTGCCAAATTAGATCTGCAGAACATCTCCAAGTGTTCCACCTACTGTGAACTTCAGCCACTCTTGTTAGGGGGAGGATGGTGGCATAGGGCAACAACACTGGTCATGTCCTCTACAGAAGAATATTCAGGGGATACATGTTCAACTCCCACCTTGGCAACTGGTGGAGTTTAAAATTCAATGAATTAATAATAAGTTAGTCTTGGGAGTTGTGATCATAAAGCTGTAAAAGACCCGTCTGTTCTTTAGGGAAGGAAATCTGCTGGCCCACGTGTGATTCCAGATTACAGCAGTATGCTAGATAACAAGGTGTAGAGCTGGATGAACACAGCAGGCCAAGCAG